GCACATGTAGAGTAGGATACTGATGTTTGCTGAGTCTCTTCGGTTTTTTAGCAGAACTCTTTGTCATTTCCTGTTTCTTTTTCTTTCTATCTTCAGCCTCTTGCTCAGACATCTTGATTTCTTTTTTCAAAGTTTTTAATCTGTTACAGAAGAGAAGAATTATATTTTTAGAATGATGAGCAATTACAGTTAACATTGTGTGCGAAAATCTTAAAACTGGCACGTTTTCAAAGTCCTCAGAGCACACCTTACTTTTATAAGTCATCAGAACTTTCTAATTTTTGTACCACTTTGTTCTTTAAGGAAATGTAACCTCAAACAATAATCACACAAAAATTGGCAAGCAACTGCAGCAAGTTATTGGACAATAAACATTTACAAGATCAACAGTTGCATGTACAATAAAATATATGTGTTTGTACCCAGAATACATGTGATTCAATCCTTTTTGCCAAACACATATAGACAGTTCATGGACATGGAATTGATATCACAAACGTTGTTGGTATATGCTTACAAATTTACCTAAAAATCTCATTCTGCCTCAGCTTGTCTTTCTTTTCTGTTTCAAGTCTCCTTTGCTGCAAGAAACATGCAGACACTAACACTGTTAATGACAAGGTTTTGATCATGATAAGGGCAATTCATTAATATTTGAGCATGTGCATCAAGGGAAGTACTCTGCTGAGAGATGCATGCAAGCTTGCACCATACTCTGTAGATTTAGAACCAGTCAAATACATGTACGAATGTACTGATGCCTGTGACCACAATTTCACAGTCTGCTGCATTAAATGCATAGGCAGATCAACTCAGTTACTAACTGCCTGTGCCAATCAAGCTAGATCCATCAGGTGTGATCCTTTCCCAATTTAACTCCTAAAGTCAGCATTTGTTACCAGGATGTTTACAGCCTTTGTGTAAATTACTATTAGTTTTGTTTCTATTTATTATTTTCATTTGACTTTAAATTTCAAACCAAGGTTTGAAGCTAGCAGTAACACAACAACACAGTCTGAGATCCTGTGCCTGTTACACTGACAAGATCAGTGAAAGAAGAAAAGTTAATTACAACAGCGCTACATTCAAAATGCAAGGCCATCTCAAGCCTAAATAATAGGAACTGCAGGGTGGGGGTGGGTTGAGGTCAGGGCATATAATGACTAAAGAAAAAGAATCGATGGAGTAATTCACCTCCAGTCTGTCATCCAGGACATAACACCTACCTCTTCTTCTTTTTCTTTCTCTTTTCTTCTCTGTTGTTTGGTTTTCCTGTCCACAGCCCGCACAGCAGCAGCAGGGGCTCCCTCATACTCACCATCACTCTCAGCTTCATCCACATCTTTGTCATCCTCAGCAAAGAGTCCCTGACTCATCTCTTCTGTCCATGTTGGCTGAACATCAAACAAGAACAATCAAACTCAATACTTACAACTTTTACTACATGTACATGTAACTTGCATTGAAATAAATTCAGTAAAATTCATTTCTTTAATTCTCAATGATTGTTATCTACAAACAGTACTTTCTGATGCAGTGTACTTACTAAATTGGCAGCTTCTTCAGAAGTCAAGAGCCTGACTTGTCTGTTCAATTTCTCTGTTTCTTTCAATTTTCTTGACTCGACATCATGAGCAGTTTGAAGTAAAATCTGCAAACAGCAATATGCATAATCAATAACAAGACTGTCTTATTTACCCAATTGAATTCGACATGCAGGTCTAAGCCGGTCATCATTTTTCGCGAGAGACCTGGAACAAAATTTTGTCCCCAATCTTTTGCAACACCTTGAATGCAGGGCTACCAAGTGTCACATTTACAAGATGGCAGACTTAGTACACAGAAAGAGAACATGCTAAAGAGGTACTCAAATCAAGATTATATTTCAATTACTTTACTCATTATTATTATTATTATTATTATTGTATTTAATTAATTTTTATTGTTTGAAGTTGTTTACAAAAATTATGATTTAAAAAAAAAACTTACTCATTATAGTGCCACCAACACTCAAGGTAGTCAGGAATTTATTCCAAACTCTTCAATTATTTAATCTAGACAGTTCATTATGGTTCAGATATAGAATGATTGTACACATGTAACCTAAAAACTGTTTGCTGTCCTTTGCTGANCCAGCTGCTAGATGGAGACTGCTCCCATGGCTGGCAAATCCTGGCAACCCAGCCATGAGCTCCCATGTGGAAGGTAAAAAAACAGACACCCGTCACACTGACAAAAACAGTGGAATGAGAGGGAAGGACAGGGGATGGGAAACAGTCTCTGTGAATTAAGTCCCCAATGCTTAAGAAAAATCTAATGCTCAAGAGAGCGCTGACTAAATGCAAACTGCTACAATGCCCTTTGGTCCAAGAACACGTAGAATTCTAAGGTGAGACTTGTATACCTTGTCGTTAACTCTGTTTTAAAATTGCATTTAACTTCATAAAATTTATGTCAGAATTTTTTCCGTTTGATGGCTTGTTAGGTTCATTGCTTATTTGTTTATATTATATTTATTTCAGCTAAATGAAAACCAAAAAAGACTGCTTCCATTAAAAAAATGTTTTCTTTATAATATTTCATACATTTGTAGGATATATATAATTATGTATCATACCAGTTGTCCTCATTTCTTCAGTTTCCTTGTCAACAAAGAACAGACCTTCATCTGGTTTTTCTGAGACTGGGCCACTGTATAAAATATCAAACATAACCAAATGTTAAGTGAGACATCTCTCATTGATACCTAAAATAAAGTATAAATGGGACTTCACAGTATAAGGTTGAACCATCTTGAATCTATAAGCTGTATCTGACTCAGTTTTTGGAACCTCTGAACTGTTTTTCTTTTTCTTTTTTTTTTCAAACGTATTACAACCACTTCATGACTACTGTAATATTTTATATCTAAATGTGTCAGAGTACTTCGTGAACCAAGGCATCAAACAACATTAACAGCATTTTATTTGTAAACAATTACTGCTTCCATCATCAATCATTAAAACAAAATTGTGACTTTTTCTCAAGCTATGGGGAAACTGCAAAATTTTCTCGTAAGACAGTACATACGAGTACATGTAAGCTTACATGTAAACTTAACTAATATCAGCTGACCTGAATCTTCTAGGTACAGTGTAGACTTTCTCACGTTGTAAACTCACACGAAGGAACACTATACTTGTATTAGAGTACATTTAAAGAACTAAAATACCTATCTAAGAATAAACTTTAAAAAAACGTAGGCTTTAAAGTTAGTACGTCCCACGTGGATGAGAAGTTACGAGCTCAACTGAGCTTTGAGTTCGATCTGTTAAGTTTTTATCTCACTAAACTCACCCAGTTCTTTCTTCGCGCCTTTCTTCCTCGAGATAGTCTTCCACATCTTTGAAATCTGTGTGTTTGCGCCAGCTTTGCTTTGATTTTTTGCTCACTCTTTTCCGCTTCGTCGTGGCCGCCATATTGATTTCTTGTCTGCGGCAGAGCGCGTGGGCTCAGTTATTGCGAAACAAGCTGCCGACCATTGAACTTGCATCCAGTCCTTTTCACACACGCGGACGTCACTATTTCGGGTAGAAATAAAGGAAATGGAAGGAAATTTTTTATTTTCCCTGATCACCAATCTATTCAAAATGTCGTTATTATTTTAATAACGGCCTAGGGTAAGAGAACTCTCCTTTGCAGCCGTTTTTTTGAGATGTCACACAACGCTCCCTATTTTGGGGAGCGTTGCGTGACATCCCAAATAACGGCTGCAAAAGAGACCAAGGGAAGATTCTAGCCTGCGAATAGGCTCGCGGTGACCGACCGCTTCGCTCTACGAATTCTTCTGTTTCGCGCTTGCCGAATTTTTTTTTTCGTCGAGGAGTTATGACTTATAGGTAACCTGACAGACTTTCGCCCGGGGGGTTACCCGCAAAGAATTAAGCGTCGCATTTAGAAGCATATTTATGCACATGTTTACCATAATAATACGATTCACTAATGTCCTGACCCTCAACAGGCCAGCCACGCAATGACGCTGCAGCCTTCATTCAGAGACTTTCGCCTGGGGGTAACCCGCAAAGAATTAAGCGTCGCATTTAGAAGCATATTTATTCACATGTTTACCATAATAATATGATTCACTAATGCCCTGACCTTCACCAGGCTAGCCACACGATGACGCTGCAGCCTTCATTCAATCGTTTCAAAATGTTTTTGTTCTGTAAAATGATTTTGCTCTTCGCTTTCCTCGTACAAGCCAGCCTTGCTGACAACGATGAAAAGCAAGAAGCTGAAACTGTAATTCTGGTCTCAATGGATGGCTTAAGATGGCAGTACATTGACGAAGGATATGCAAGCACACCAAATCTCGACCACATTGCTCGTCAGGGCGTCGTTGCAAAGTACATCAAGACCGTTGTGCCAAGTAAAACCTGGCCAAATCATCAAACCTTCCTGACAGGCCTGTATCCTGAAAGCCACGGACTGGTCGCCAACACGTTCTGGGATCCAGTTTATCAAGAGAAGTTTGTTCTCGATTACGACTGCGCTAATTACGATCCTAAATTCTACAACGCTTCCGAACCGATTTGGCTGACTCTGCAGAGGAGTGGCGGGCAAAGCGCGGTGTATTTCTGGCCGGGATTCGGGGGATACCCGCAGAAGCCCACATTCTACGAAAAGCCAGCAATCTGTCCCGTCAACTGCAGTGAGGTGGATTCAAAAGAATTGCCAAAAATGAGGAATACGACTCGCGATGGTTGGCCACCATACATACACTGCATGGTAAATCACAGCGAACCATCGCAGCAACGCATTGATAAGATAATAAACTGGCTCCAGTCTGACAGCCCTCCGGGGTTTGTTGCATTGTACATCGAACAACCCGATAGCACTGGTCACGGATTCGGAATAACCACGCAGCGATACAAAGACGCCATGGAAGCAGTGGACCGTGATACTGTGGGATACTTGATAGACAGTCTCAAGGACGCTAACCTCTTCGACAAAGTTAATGTTATCTTCGTCAGCGACCACAGCATGACAGATACTTCATCTACCCGGCAAATTTTCCTTGAAGATTATATCAACCTTGATGATATTCAGCTTGTCGAAGGAGGAGCCGTTGGCCACATTTGGACCGCTGATGACAAGATAAACGAAATTTACCAAAACCTCACACGCACCAAGAACTCGCACATGACGGTGTACAAAAAAGAAAACATTCCTGAAGAATACCACTGGAAGCACAACCGGAGAATCCCGCCAATTTTCGTCGACCCTGATGTGGGATGGGTCATACGAACGTCAAGAGCAACCGTTCGTCAAGGAAATTGGACCGTTGGGGATCACGGATGGCCTGCAGAAAAGTCCAAGAGCTACTCGGTGTTCTTCGCCCATGGGCCTGCTTTTCAGAAAGGCCTCAAGGTGTCCCCATTCAACACCGTGGATCTTTACCCGTTGATGTGTAAGCTTTTAGGAATAAAGCCAAAACCGAACAACGGTTCCCTGGAAAATGTCAAGATGATGCTGAAAGAATATGCGCAACCTGCTAGCAAGCCAACCATTAAAGGAAAAGTATCCATGTTGGAATCACATGTTCCAACCATCCTCATCGTGTTGAGTATAGCATTTTGTATCCACATGGCTGGCTAAGCTTAACTCACACAGGCGTGTCTAGGCAACTGATCACGAAGTGTTTCAGTCGTTTGAATCAGTCACAATTGGCCAGATTCTTAGCTCGTCCCAGATTTTCTCGTTCCTCTTAGCCGGCGTGGCCTTGGGGCGAGGAAAAGTTGGCTCCGAAGGCATATGATTTGAAGGGCTAGGTTTTATGGGGTATAAGATTTTCTCTAAAACAACGCTGGTTTCTTTTCCGAATATGTTCTCTCATTAATCTCTAACAAAACCGTAAGTACGAATACAGCACTAACAGACCTAACATAATTTAGCAAAGCAGGGGAAATTTAAACAGAGGTAAACCACTGATCGCGAGTTGCATTTACCTGTTTGGTTTGTTTGAAAATCCCCCAAAGGTTTGTAAATGCTGTACTTGAAGTTAGCGATCAACCAGTGATATTTTTAGGAAAGAAACCAGAGTCTCTCAGATCAACTCATGCATGTGTCATCAGAGCCACTTTTTCCTCGTGCTCAGGCTCCACCGCGGCTTAGAGGGGCGGGTGGCTCTGGGGACGAGAATCTAAACACCGGAAGGAGAAAACGCCCACAAAAGCCTGAACTATAACTATAACATCCAGTTTTTCATTAACGTCTAACTATTTATTCTACGCTTAGGATTTGGACAGCACCAATAGAACAGTTGTTTGTTGAAGACAGTGTAATTGAGATTTTTCATAGAAATCGTCGAAAGCTGTGCCGGTTAAACCGTAGATTGTTCTGTAAAATAAAAACAAACTTGCAGTCGTCATTCCGTGGTATCTTTATTCAATAAATTCTGCTGCATCCAAACGATTTTTTTCGTTACTAAAAAACTCATGTCATAATATTCAAGCCGGAGAGCAATGGAGAATTTCAATGAGACGTTGTGAAGGGAAAATATTATATTTTCACGAAAGCATAATGGAGCACAATAGTGCACGCCTTTAGAATGTAATAATGAGACTCATTGAATATCGAAAAACACTGATTAGCATAATAGTGAAAAATTTAGCTCAATGTGTAAAACCCTACTCTTGATTGAGAACAACGCACCAGTGATCTGATTAGGCTCATTTATTCATTTATTCGTAAGGTTACCGTGTACCTTTGGGTGTGTCTTCAGTTCAACAAAAATAGCGCCTGGTGATTGCATCACAGAGCTTTTCGAAAATTTTGTTAAAATTTCCGGGAAATGAATTATTGAATTTCAACAACAACAACATATATTACTTATGCTGCACTTTTTCTATAAAAATAGTCAAAAGCGCATTACAAAAGCGCATTACAAATTATAAAGCGCATTACAAAAGCGCATTACAAATTATAAAGCGCATTACAAATTTCCGCGAAGTTTGAACTGGCCAAGGTATAAGTCATCTTTTGTTTTTTTATTCCAACTCAACAAGATTTTTACATTATATTCACCACGTGGTGAACAAAAGTCATTGTTATTTTTACTTACGACTGATTTGCATTTATATCAAATTTGTTTATCGAGAGAGCGGGTCTTTACAAAAAAATTCGTTATAATTGCGAACAGAGTTATAGCTACTCTTATAAGGTTATTAGATTAAACTCTTTACTGAGAAGTCTTTTTATTTCAGGTTTTCTTGTCCGTCCAAGTATAAAACAGATAGCCCCTGGCTGACTGCCGAATTAACGAGGGTTAAAGTTAGGATTTGGAGTTTATCCTCATACCGCCAAAGGACCATTTTCTTTTCTTCGTTCGGTGAATCCGTTTTGACATAAAATAATTTTTTTCGGTCACGGTGGTTTCTTTTACTTTTAATTTGAAGTGCAAGAAAATAATGCTTAAACATAAGACCTCCCCTTCAGCGAGACCTTGTTTCAAACAATTCTGTTTTGATGCGTTCTCTTTTAGAATTCAGAGTCTTAACGCGGAAAATTTAGTTAAGAACAGCAGTAATTATATGCATGGTTTTGAACTTGCTGAGGTTAATCTGGACCGTATATGAATAGTAATGTCTGCAGTTTACCAAAATGGAGCAAACACTCATTGACCTCATTTAGAAGGTAATGCCGAAAATGATTTTTTGACGGCATTTGCTTAATTTAAAATGGACTTGTAGCTGTAATAGCCGTCATAACGTTCAGAGCGAGGCGGATGAGTTAAGCGTAAATGAAAGGGTTCATTGCCAGTACTGGATCGAATTTTCTGCGTACGTGCAAAAATTATGTCTAGGTTAAATATCTTGTGATTTGTTACTAAAGGCTGTATTTTTTTTTAAGACCAAAACATCCCAGACAACAATCAGAAACCCAGTGAATCCATATTGAACAACTTTCTGAGCCATTTTCTTTTACTATTAATTTGAAGTTCAAGAGAATAGTGTAAATGAAAATTGATGTCTTCAGGTATAGGCGCTACCCCTGGTGATTTTTTTCATATTCCGTCTTCCTGTTCTCGTCTCTAAGAGTTTTTAACGTTTCTAAAAAAAATTAGACACCATTAATTACCATATACATTGTTATCACACCATCGAATATGTGCACGGAAAAAAAAATCCTCATATAAGTGGATCCCAGTGGGGCCATCCAGCTACACTCATATTTGTTTCCTTCTGCTCGCATTCGTTCCTATTTCTAATGTTAGCACCTCGCTTTATTTCAACTTCTTAACTGGAAACTTAGGAAACGAAACTGCTAACTAGACACGCGTTACCACCACAGTGCATTCCAACAAAAGAAATTCTAATCTCTTTGTATTGGCAGACATTCAGCCGATCCTGTTGGCTCCTGTGTAGCAATGTGTGGGTCAGGAGCATAAAATGAGTGTGCGCATATTCCTTTTCACATTATTCTCTTCCATGCAGCTAGAGCACTTCACAGTACGCAGGCAGAGTGGAACGCTGAGACATTTTTTTGAACTGTCGGTAAGTCTTGTTACATTTTTTTTCACCCTTCAGGCAAACATAGAAGTTCTTCG